TCCATATATACAAATTCAATTACTATATATGATACAATGACGATTAACTATATGATAAACTATTATGTTCCACATGAAATAAGTTTTTTCACTCAAAACGCTAAAAGAATTAGTTAGAATTTGATATAATTATATATATTTTCTATATATTACCATTTTATGACTAAGATTTGTAATCTGTTATTTTCCATTCATTAAAGTTGTTGCCGTATCAGTATTTGTATTCATTTAGGCGTATGTGTAGATTTGTGAGATGTAGATAAGAAAATCATCATTAAGTTAAACTTTTGTTCGTTACATTTTGCTATGACCGACTTATTCGTTCGTGTCGTCTAGTTCTATCTATTTTTTTTTTAATACAATTAGTTCATTGCAATATTTTTTTGAAAAAGTGAAAAGTTATAATGGTTGCAACTGGTATATTATATGTGTAATCGTAGAATGGAAAATAAAATAAAATTAAGCTACGTAATAAGATGGAATCTGCAGATTAAAAATAGCATAATGAAATTATTTTTGCGAATTGATACATTTGTACACAGTCGATATCATCCATCACAATTACAAAATATATGCTCCCTCTTTTTTTTTAATTGGTTGAATTGTTTGTATTTTATTTATTAAATAATTTTTTTTGAATTTTTTTTTAATTTAAATTTTGTGTTTTAACCCAAAACTTCGTATTAAAAAATAGAGCGAGTAGTTTATTGCAATACTGATCAAGCTCAAACTAAAAAAATTGTCCTGAATATTTTAGAAATGAAATTAGTGTGGATGGATAAATACGATATACGTACACGTTAACTGTTAGTACACTAATTAAAAGGTAGATTGAGTTCGGTGAATGTTAAACGACAGAATTTGGCAGGAGCAGCATTCAAACATTTCTGTTCAGTCGTTTTCGTTGTCGGGAGTATAGTGACTCAAAAACAATGATGCATCAAATATTATTTATCAGAAAAGTCCAGTTTCAGTGTTCAATAATTTTCTTGTCGCTTATTCTGCACGTGTGTTAATTATGTTTTACACACGTGTGTTTAATGTACTTGTTCATGTGATTTTTATTCAAGTCGTAACGACTCATAAGAGCGTATCTATATAATTCTGAATGAATTGAGATTTACGTTGATTTCATAGTATAAGTGGATGTCATAATTCACAAGCAGGAAATCGATCTTAGAAATTATTATTCCTTCCGTTCCAAATTATTTGTTGTTTTGACATTTTTTAAAACGTTATTTGATCTTAGACTTTATTATTCCTTCCGTTCCAAATTATTTTTAAACGTTATATTTCAACAAAGGAAAAAAGCAAAAATAGAGGGAGAATCATTTTAAAGTTAATCGAAACGTCACATGGAACACAAACTCGTAGCTTTAGCTTTGGATTCAAAACGCAATTAAT